TGTTGTACAGTCATGGTCAAACTGGAGATGGCACCTTCCAGCGTAACAGCTCACAGTCGGTGTGTGTTGTCAGGCTCATCTGCTCAGGGTGACACTGTGTTTTTCTCTGGCTGTGGGCAGCCTGGTGAGGCCCATCACAGCCTGGGGAGCTGGATTGCATCTGTGCTCAGCTCTCAGAGATGAATGGACCTGGCTGGCAATGGGAAACCACCATTTGGCTTGGTTCTCTTCTCACAGGGCTTGGGGTGTGCAGGCAGAGCAGGTTTTTGTTTTACCTTCTAAGCTGAAACAGATTTGACATAACAAATTGGTTAAGATAATAGAGGCCGCACTAGCACATCATTTATCAGAGTCAGGGCCTGTTTTGAATAAGAGTGCTGGCTCTGCTAGGGTTGCTGCTTGCCTTGAGGAAGTGCTGAGGGAGAAGGGCAAAGAACTCTTTTTCTGGGTTGCAAAAGGTTTCTAGAGTTTTCAGGCTGGAAATTGGAGGTGGATGATTGGAAATAACCAAGGCGAGGGCTGCAGAGAGACAGACTAATAATTAGGGGACAGCAGCCACATTTGGGTGCAGCTGTGGACATGTAGATCCTTAAGCCAAAGTCAAGCTACAACTTCAAGCTTACGTGTGATCAGCATCTGGGGAAGGGGGCCAGTGTGCACATGCCCTTTGCTTTTCCTGGTTGTGGTTAACTTTGTAAGCCTACAACTGCAGGGCAAGGTTTGAAAGGCATTTCAGTAGACTAAAGAAAGCCTTGGAAGAGGATCAGTACCATGCAAATAACTAACTCTGGTCCCAAGGGTCTGGCTGCTCGATTCCCAAAATAAGCTCTCAGAAAGGACTGTGAGAGCTTTCCTCTCCCTCCTCCTGTTACCAGCAGAGCAAGCTCGAGGGGAAAGAGAGCAGGATTGGAAAGTGAGATCTGCTCGCTCCTGATGGCAGTGCTTTGCCAGTGGGTCTGTTTTGCTCCCTGCTGTTTTCTGGCTGTTGCTTTGGCATTGAGGGTTAGGAAAGGAGTATGAAGGGAGTGCTCTGGTGTGGCCAGATGCATCCCTTCAGGGGCTCCAGGTAGGGTGGGGTTGATACAAAGTAATTTGATGTAGCTTCCCCACTGAGGAAACTGAGCCGGGTCTGTGTTGCACTGGAGTGCCATTAAAACCCCAGTAAGAAAAAATGCCTCCCTCCTCTTTATTCTTTTGTCTTATCACTTGGTTGTGAGCCAGGGTCATCCTAGTACCATTTGTACAAGGCTGCGACAGAGATGAACTGTGCGAGGCAGGCTGTGCAGAGACCTGCTCTGAAGGGAAGGCAAGTGAGTGTGCTAGTTACTGCTCCTGGAGATAGGCTTTAGGAGATGAAGGCTGATCTTTCATATCAAGGCTAAGATGACATTCTATCTCTCCCTTCTGCTCAGAAAGTTTTATTCTAACATATTCTTGGCACAGCATAGCAGAACCACCAATATTTCTATAAGTTTTATTAAGCTTGCTTCCATAACGGGAGCCAGCAATCTGCTCTCCAGAACTCCTTCCACCCCCCTTCTCCCTGGATCTGAAACTGAAAAATATCCAGGAGTTTCACAAAAGAAGTTTGTTGGTGGCAAGTTCAATCTCCTTCCCTTTTCCAAAGGCTCTCTTTGAGAAGCTGATAATGCTTCAGACAAGTTGTTTTCTGCTGTGTTGCTTCTCTGGTCTGAGTGCCAGTTGGGCACAGCATCTTCAAAGCTGTTCAAGTTGCTGGCTCTGGCCACACTGCTCCTGGGGTGACTACTCCTGCCCTACCTGGAGACAGGGGAGATGGTATTTCTTGTTTCCTGATTTTATGTGACCTTTTCCAGTCAGGCTGCAGTTAAACAACAGCCGTCCAGGTCTGAAAGCATGCAGGGAACAAGCATTTCTCTTGCTCTGCCGGGCACAGCGCTCACAGTGCTGGCTGTGGTAACAGGACACATCAGGCTCCCATGCAAAGTCCAGCATTTACTGGGAATCCAGGACTTGCCAGTCACACCAGTGGCCCTGGGCTGGGTTTTGGCATAGAGCAGCTGTAGCATGGGATGTACTTATGCTTGGCATGGGAAGAGAGGACTTGGTGTTAAAAGTGCACGGGGTGAGCCCTGGAAGCTTTTGATGTGGCAAAGAACGAGGGCTGCCCTGTGCTGTGGGCAGGCAGCTCGCTGTTGTCATTGCATTAACTAACACATGGAAGGTACCACTTGTCCTTTGCCCCTGAGCTGCCATTCTTGTCTCTGCATGTTTTCTTAGGAGACAACTGTTTTCCAGGCTTGACATCTTGCCCTCCCCTCGGCTCCCCCCCAGGCCAAGCAGCTTTCTTTGCCAAGTTTCCCTTGGATAGACAACAGCATGTATCATGCAATCTATCCAAACTCTTAATTGATCTCTCAGGAATTGTTTTTTATCTGAATTCCTGGAATGTTTCCATATGCTGAAGAGTTTCCTCTGGAGGGAAGGGAAAATTATCCTGTGCCACTCCCTCCGGAGGAGTGGTGACCACTGGAAGGCTGGTTGTTTGGCTTGTGCCTGTTGGGAGATGTGGGCTCTGCAGTGTTTGCTCACAGTTGTGACTGTGTTTAAAAAAGCAGCTGCTTGGAGAGCAGCAGGAAGGTGAACAGTTGCTCCACATCAGCAGCTTCCCCATCAGATGGAGAAAGAGAGCATCCCAGGTGGATAAGCTGGGAGAGCACTACCCTGTCTCTGTGTGCGAAGGAGACTTGTGCTCATACGTGGAGAGAAGAGCAAATGACTGATCAAAAAAAAGCCCCACTTCTGAGAGCCTGGAGTGAGCAGGAGTGGTGTCTGCAGGCAGTCAGGCTGCCGGCACAGTGTGCCAGAGCGGTGGTCTCTGCTGGTGCAGTGGCACCTGCACAACCCCATCAGCTCCATCTCCCTTTTCCTAAGCTGGGCAGGGACAGTGGCAGCTGGAGAGGTGTGAGTCCCTGCTCACCCCCACCATCAGCTCTGGAGTGGATCACAGCCCCGCTTCTCCCTCCTCTGATGCTTGACTATTTGCAAACACAACTGAAGCACTGCAGGTTACATGCTGAGCAGACCTTCTAATTAAAATTCCTCACTACTCACTGGAGCTGCAGCAGTTGGTTATTCTCAGTGCCTGAGCCTGGCCAGGGTGATGGGCTGTGCGGTCCCAGAGGTCTGACAGGGGCAGGGTCCCTGCTGTAATGTGACTGAGTGTGACACCTCTTGTGCCATGCCCTGATGATGAAGCAGGCTATCTGTTCCAGGGTGGCTGGAAAGGACTCTTAAGGAGCTCTCCCCTCTACTATGGCACTGCTTTGGCTCCTGCTTTACCATCCATTGGCTGATCCCCACTTTGCACCAACCCCCAGAGCCAGCCTTGGATAACACAAGACCAAGCACAGGCCAGGGGAAGAGAAAAAGGCAAAAGCTTCAGGGTTCCTACAGACTTGCAGGATCAAACTGGAAGCACAGGCTAAAAACAGAAAAGCCACCAATGGCTGTGACAGCTCGCCGGGCACCAGACGGTGACAGCAGGAGAAATGCATTGCCAAAACAGCTCTTCTGTGCTGGTGCTGCTCCCAGACTCACGAAGGACTGTCGCCTCCTTCCTGTGCTTGGTCCCTGTCCCAGCACCATGATGTGCACCCTCCAGTGACCCTGGAAACTATGATGGGCTTAATAAACCACCAAAATACCAGGAGAAAGAGCTGTGGACTTGCCAGTATTAAAGCAAATCTTCTTACTAGTGATGTTCCTTACTAGCATGGTGTGCCCACTGGCTCGGCAAAAAGCCCCAGCTCGGCAAAAAGCCCCAGCTCTGCTGTCTGTGTTGATGTGCATCAAAGTACTCAGCCAGAGCTTCTGACCCAGTGAGCTGGGGCATAATCAGACACACAGTCTGCACAGGGCCACACAAAGAGAAAATTATTCTCTTGATTTGGTCATTCGAGGCACAAGGAGGATGAAATGACTTGCTGAAGGTTGCAGTTTAGGTCTGGTGCCAGGGGGCTGACACATGGATGCACTGTCTTGTCTGTCCCCTGCTGCAGCAGTCATCACCCGTTTGGGAGGGCAAGTGGCTGGGGAGCCCTTACAAACCAGTGGCTTGTCCTGAAGTCTGTGCAGGGAGGAGAGCAGGAGGGGACCCTGTGACTGCTCTGTGCTCCAGCCCCACTCTCTGGGCAGGGGGGACATTTCTGCAGCCCTGGGTCTGGATGGACAAGGGGCTCTTGGAGCACCTGGGCACTGCCTGGGAGCCGATAGCAATCAAGCCCTGCTCCCCAGCCCCGTCTGCTGTCGCAGCTGGGGGCAAGAGGTAGGATTTAAACAAGAGCTGCTCCTGGCGACGGTACAGATGCTTCCTGTTGGAATTGGTTTTAGTTCAGGACCATCATCATATTTTAATGGGCTTGTAAAAGCATGAGAACCAGGTCTTGAAGCAGGCTAGTTTGCCTGTTACTGCATATCCTCCACCCGCTCCACACTGTTGTTTTGTCCGGGTTATGGGAAGCACTTGGGAATGATCATGGAGTTTTTTTCCCTATTTCTTTTTTCAAGTTAGTACTTCAGCTAAAAAAAAAAAAAAGAAGTGAAAGCTTTGACTCTGAGGAATGTGGAGCTGGCCTTCCTTGGGATTATCCAGACAGAGAGCCCTGCTTGGTCAAGTAAGTTGTAAAGACGTCCTGCAGTGCCCTGAGGTAATTTTTTATTGGGCTGCTCTGGGCTATCCCAAATAGACATAGCCATGAAGCCATGGATTTCAGGACACCTCAAAAAGCTGACCTTGAAGCAGAAAGGGAACCTAAGGCCTCCATGAGACTGAGCTGCCCCCAGACTCCTGGTTGGCAGTGGCTGGGAAGCAGGTGCCAACCACACTGGCAACTTGACAGCACCCAAGGGCTGCAGCTCTCTCCTCTACAAGCTGAACTGGAATTTAATATCTCTCTGCCTTTCCCTTCTCACCCTCCAGAGGGATGGTGGTCACCAATGATGCCCTCAGACTCACTCAGTTCAGAAAACATAACTTTATTATTAGTTGCAATATACATTGTATTCCTTTAAGAATCCTAAATTGTATATGGTTTATCCACTGAAAATACATGTGTATGTATATATGGTTTTTATATATATATATATATATAAATGTATTTTATTGAACTGGAACACAGCGGAACAAGAAAGACAACCTCAGGAATTACTTGTAAAAGGAAATGTGATCCCAAAGGGTTTGTGCTGGCAGTGTGCTAAGGTGAGTGGTATAAAAAGAACAGGCTAAATAGAAAAGGTGATGGGTTAGGCAGTGGGGAATGGCCTCTCAGTGCTACAGGTGGTGATATATGCAGTAGTTACACATTGCTATTGCTCAGTCATGAGTGCCACCTATTCTCCAAGGCTGGTCTCTGGTGCGGCTCTGCACAGCAACATTCCTAGGGCTGGCTGTGCTCCCTGCAAATGGTACCTGCCAGTTGGAAATAGAGTGTAATTACATTTCCCTCAGCAGCTGCTCTGCTCATTGCTAATCTGGTCAGCGAAGGAAGAATTCCTCCGGGACTTGGTGAAACCTAACTGGGTCAATATAAAGTAGCTTACAGGCGGGGGAAGGGATCAGCAACAGCAGCAAGAGTTGAAATGCGCAGGCTGAGCTGTGGCAGGTGCAGAGCAGTGTCTCACCTGACCCAGGCTGATTTGCTGCTGGCTCCTGCTCTCTGTACTCATATCCTCACCCGCAGAGGGGCTGTGGCCCCTCTCCACTCGGCAGCAGGGCCAGGGATGTATGGGGTCAGGGTGGGCAGTGTCTAGCTTTTTTTGGGGTAGGTTTCCCCATGTTAAATGCCTCAGAAGGTAACGCTTCAGAAAACCGGCTGAGGGCGGCAATAACTGCTGCTGTGCCAAGGCTTGGGGCTCATTTCCCTTTTTTTGTTGTTGTTGATGTTCTTTGTAGGTTTTGTTTATTAACCCGTTTTTCAAACACAGCCTCCCAAGGCCACGTGCTACTGCTGAGCTTAGCTATAGACAGAGGGACAAGTCTTCCCCAGATCAGTGTAATTGATTTATTTCTGTTGAGCTGCAGGTGTTTCTTGGGTGAAAGGACACATTTTAGCAAAGGCACTGACCACAGACCTTCCTCTGCCTGAAGCCAGGTTGGAGGGAGCAGACGGGCTCTGACCTTCTTGCTGAAGGGTCACTTCCCTCTCCCCTCCTGCAAAGTGCTTGTCAATTTGGAAGGGATGTAAAGAATGTGGGCACTGATTTACTCCTCCTGACTTCCTCGAGAAAAGTGCTTTCAAAAATCCCATCCTTAAGTGATCATTTTGCTACTACCCCCGCAATGTCTGTCACCTCTGGATCACGCCTACTTGTTTCCCCTTCCAGCTGAAGAAGCAGGTGAGATTTATCACTGCTATAGTGTTTCTCTTCTTACTGTCTTTCACTAGCAGCATGTGGTCAGGAGGGCACTTGCTTGGGAAAAAGAAGTTGCCTCAAGGCAGGCTGCTGGAAAATGGAGAGCAGGTGACCTGTGCATTGCTCTTTCCCAGAACAAGTGTCACCAGAGGTTTAGCAGGGGCTGCTGAGAACAGCTGATTGCACTGGAATAATATGTCAATAAAAAGCTGGCATTGCTGGGAGAACTACAGCTTGTTCCTCTCTTTAGAGGCAAGAAAATACAAATGTGAAAGTGCCTGGATCAACCTGTATAAAAGAGCTTCCCTGACTTGGGCTCTTTAGGGCAATTACAAGGACACAATCTCCATCCACACATCTTCCATCCATCCGTGCTACTGGGACCGAATGGATCCAGGCCCTGATTCTGACTGTTATTGCACAGAGGTCCCTTCCATGAACCTTGCCAGGACTGCTTTCAAAGGGAAGAAAAGTGGGTGACCTCCACAACTGTTGGAGGTGGGATCCAGCCCTGGGGACATAGCGATGGTTCCCACTGCTCCCATGGGAAGGCAGTCAGAGGGGCTGGTTTGCCTCTGGGGGAGATGCCCCACCCTCTCATAGTGCAACATTCGCGTTTTCTTCTTGCAAAACTGGTGGGAGAGGTGCAGGTTAAGCCCCTTCCCTTTGGATAGTGCCAAGAAGTATATTCATGATTAGGGCTATTAAACTGGACCTGCACAGCCACTGTCATCACTATGCAGCTTTTACTGTGTCAATGCAATGTCTCTGCTCTATACCTGAGTCTAAGCTCTTTCCCCTCACCCTGCTGCTACCACAGACCCAAGGCAGCTTTAGTATTTGGCTTATCTGCACCACTGGACCAGTCCACAAGCTCCTCCACGGCAGCTTGTACAGTGTGCAAGGTGTATGTTGGATGGATGGTCAGACCCCGTACTCTGTCTTCAGCTCTCCACACATCCTAAAGGGGTGAGCTTGGCCCCTCAGTGATCTACTCCAGTGCTGATTAGGAGGAGACTAGGATGAGCTTGGACAGGATCTCTGTTCATGCTGCTAAACCAGTGGACCATGAGGACACCCACTGCTACTCCCCACCCACCAGATGCTCCGTGCTTTTCTCTAGCATTATTTTCAGGACACTTTCCAACTGATGAAGGAAAACAACAGATTATGACTGTAAAGTTATGATGAGAGGACTGGATCCTGGTAGGACAACATTATTTCTTGCCAAGAGAAGGAACGATTAACCTCTTATTTTCTCCCATTTTTCCCCAGCTTCCAGCCACCTCTATATACATCATATATTATATTACTATATTCTCTTATATCTTTGACTTTGCTCTTTCAGTTTCAGTAGCACAAGTGATTAATTCCAAATGAAAAAAAAAAGGAGAGTAAAAAAAAAAGGAGAATGAAAAAAAAAAAAGAGGGAAGGAAAAACCCCCAGCCTCTAGGAGTATTTACAGAATATTTCATCTTGCAGAGGAGATGAGGTTTGGCATTGGGAAAAGCATGGGATTTGAATACGCTAAGTGGGTTTGATTCCACATTCCTGCTCTTCCTTCTGGAATTCTGCTCTGATGAGGAAAATTAAAGAGCTGTTCAACATGCTTTCCCCAAGTGCAAACTTGCAGAGGACACACAGGGCGGCGGCAGGGGAGGCTGTCTCTATGCTCTCCCCTGGTCTGGCCTGCTTGTAAAGGTAGTATTCAAAGGGGTCTGATCTTGAAAATCAGACTTTCACCTTCAGAGAGCCATCAGCTCCATCTTTAGCCTCTCCTCACCACCCAGCACCTTCATTAGTGCTCTCCTCACAAGGACCAGGGCTTTTAAGGTACTGACTGGTGGGGACAGGGAAGGGATGGTACACACCTGGAATCAAAACCATGAAGTGGAAGATACTGGCTTCTTTTACATACTAAAAATTATTGCAGTATAAATACACCCCTGTCACCCCAGCAAAAGCAGAGAAGGGGAAGCCATGGGGGAAGTTTGGGGGGTGAGGGGCATTTCCATAAGGTTGCCTGACCCAGAAAGCTTTGACAGCTGCTCCCACAGCTGCCAATTCTTCTCCAGATTAGAGCAATGGCCAATTACATCAGCAAATAATGCCCCACCCTGTGCCTCTCCCCCCACCCTCCCTTATGCTGTGCGTGATAAAATATCCCACGAGTCCCTCCGTGTTAGATCTTTTTCTGAGAGACTTCTAATAAGAAAAGCATCTATTCCCAGAAAACCCCAGTAAGGGATGCAAAAGCAATTGCTTTTAAGTATGGCTGGTTTCCCCAGCTGCTGAAACCTTCTGGCCAATCCATGTCAGTATTTCTGTGAAGACAGAGGTAGAGACCTCGGGCAGCTCTTTGTGGAGGGCATGATAGGCTTCCTCATACACCTGCAACCAGTGAGAGAGTGGAGATTAGCACAGAAAAAATAAATCTGCATGAAAAAAACAGCCACCAGTCCCCTCTCTTCAACACCCACAGGTCCAACATGTCCTGCCCACACCTTGTCAGTTTTTTCCCGAGATGTGGCAGGTTATGAAATCAAAGAGATGTCACTGGTAGTGTTGGCCTTCAGCGAGCAGGAAGGTGTTGGCATTGCAGCTTGATGTCTGCAGGTACTCAAGCACCCTGCTGCCCTTTAGGAATACAATGCACGTCCCAGCCCCATCCATTTCTTGCTTCTTATCCCACTAAGGAGGAGGAAATACTTATCATGCCCTTGGAGTGTAAAGAACAATGGGGGATGTTCCCATCATGCCTTGTGCAATTTTACTCCTTTTATGCTCAGACTATCCAGTTACTTTTCCAACGACAAAAGCTTTCCCCAGTCTCCCTGTCTCTCTTTCAGGCTCATTCATGTGCTAACAATTGGTTAATCAGCTGTGGCTCTCTTGAAATGAGCAGATGTGAAGCGGCTTTTGTTGTCCAGCACTTTGGAAAGACCCCCCTGTACCTTTACACGCTGGGGCATGAGGTAAGGTTGGTGCCTGTACAGTTGGCATTGTTCAGAAGAGCTTTTAGGGTCAGCACTTTACTTGCTATAAGCCTCACTCTACTTCTATGCCAAGCTGCTTCATGTCCAAGAGACCTCTAGGCACACAGTCACCACTGGGGCAGATCTGGAGATCACCCACCACTCCCTGCCTGCAGCCCAGCTGTAGCTGGTGAAAGGCCACCACACCGTGCCCAGGGAGGGCTGACCTTGGGCTACCTCCTGGTGAAAGGGGCTGTCACTTGAGCAAGTTACACTTGTTCAGTGTCACCAACCCATCACCCCTCTTCACCTCCAGCTCTGGAGGTCAGCAGGGTCCCTACCCCTCACAGTCAGTCATGCTCAGGTCAACACTGATTTTTAGGACAATACCCTAAAAATCAAGAAAGCAAGAGGACCTTGAGCGTTTTGTCTTGACTCTGCACTGTGTCCATCAGTAAGTAAGACCCTCTGATATCACAGAGCTTGTCAGAAGAGCCGTGTAGCACCAGGATGGGCAAAGTCAGCTTGGGCAGAGCTCGCTCAATTCTGGCAATGGCATTCATCAGCTGGATGACAAAGGAGACCTTCATGCCACCGTGGTAGACCAAGGGATCGGATGTGTAAGATTCCATCTGCCAGGAAGAAAGAGGTAATTTAAGGTTAGAAATATTTCATGCAGACAAGGAAAAGCAGATCAGCCTGGCAGTGAGGAATCTCTTCCTTTGGCTTACACAGCCATTTCCTACTCTCTCAGGACATCCTGCCATCAGAGTCAAGGTCAAGGTCTTCCCAGAACTGCTCACACAACCTGGCATACTCTTTGCTTTGTGTTTCTCTCTTACACCACTAGAAAATGTTCAAGCTAAAGCTCTTTCTGCAGGGAAACAACCAGTGTTGAACAAAGACTGTTCCCACAGGGGCATCTGTCCGCATTTTCATCCTCTGCTGTGCCCTTCTGTTGCTCAAATGTGATATATCTTCTTCAGACGGTTCTTCAGACTGTGTTACTTGAAAGTGGATGTTCTCCAGGTCCTTATCCTCTCTGCTGAGGGCTCAGATGTTCTCAGACCATGACCTACACCTACAGACAAGTGATAGATCTGACTGAAAAGCCAAGGGGTCATCTCTGGATGCAAAGTCTGCACAGACAAGGAAGCAAATAATGTTATTAGGTGGTAGGCAAAAAAAAAAAATAGTCAACAACTTGCTCAGCCAGACTGTGAGGGGATAAAAATGCACAAGAGCTGGTGCAGAAAGTTGCTAGGAAGGAGTAGTTACCGCAGCAGGCAAATCTACAGTAAATATTTGTATACTGTATGTGGAGACGGCCCACACAGCCCCTACCATCGCAATATTTGCCAGAAAGCTCTGATTATGGGCTGGTCTCTGGCACAGCCTTCAGTTTCTCCCAGCCCTGGCAGATGTTTATAGAAATCATGGTTATTTATAGGTTAGCTGAAAACAGTCTCCTCCTCTCAGATCAAGCAGTGGGGTCTGTTCAAATTCTCCCTTGATTGCAGAAACCTGAGGTCCCCATGCCTGCCCTGAGAGGACCATGGGTAGGAGCTGAGCCATCAGGGCACCCCAAGGACATGCAGCCATGTGTAGGTGTAGGCACAGGTGTGCACTGTAGGACAGCATGGACAGAAAGGTTTTGGGGTGGATTCTGCCTTCATCTCCCCGTGAGATGAAATTCTCAGGGTGGTAGAAGAACACTACATGGTGGGCCTTTCCCACTGGGGCCATTGAGTTGCCAGAGGGCTAAAAGCCACTTTCCCTTTTTGTCATCTCAAATGTGCTGGAGCACAAAGCACTGGAAATGGAGCTGGCAGTGAGTTATGTTGGTGCTTCCAAGTCATTCCCTACCACTTTGCTGCTTCCAGTCTCCACCATCTCCTGCTGATTGAATCCGTGGTTCTATCCCTAAAAGTAGCAAGGGGGAAATTTGGGATTAAGAGCAGCTGGCACCCTTCAGACCCAGCTCACAGTGCTGAAGATGGTCAAGGGAGAGACAGCTGTAGAGCCAATTTGGTGTGCATTGGAGTTGGACCAATGAAATTCAAGTTGTTACAGAACTCACTAGGGGTTCTTGGATGTGGTAGATGTTTCTAGTATTTGATTAGGGCCATTGGTGTGTTTTGGTCTCTGTGCAAGATCATGGCTACTCTGAAGTGAGGGGTAATTTTTGGCAGGGAGACAAAGATAATCATCACATCATAATATTATGACATTACACATAGTATCTCCCTTTCAAAGAAGCAAGTGCCTGTGCATGCTGAGAGTCTGGGAATCTGCTTGTAAGAGGCCACTGCAAAGATGCTGAACATCCTCTGCTCCTGCTAACATCCCTAGGAACGTTCACCTAGAGGGCAAACAGCACATGGTCCCTTTGGCTCTGCATGGACCCTCCAAGTGCCCAACCAGTTTGCTGGTGCAGAAACCTCCACCTGCATCCTCCATCCCATACATTTCTCAGCTGTACCTTCCTTGCTCTCCAACATCCTCCAAAAAGGGCAAGAAGCCACCTGTGCTTAGAAAGAAGTTTCCTCTTGTGAATATGTTCATGGAAAAAGTTCAGATTTGACATCCAAAACACCAAGAGCCCAGTGCGGTGTTGCTTGCTCTCCTGTTGACAGATGGGTGTACCCTGATATTCTTAGCCAAACACGTTGACTTTTCATCAGCATTTTGAGCAAAACCCCTGTGTTGCATTGGCTACTTAGCAACTGGCTTCAGCCTTATGTGGATCTATGTCACAGCGCTGTGCTAAAGCAACACAGCTTTAGAATTAATTTATTTTTATTTTTTTCATTCTTTTTATGTGTTTTTTTTTTTTTTTAATTGAAGGCAATAAATGAGGGACTTTGCAGGGGGGATTCAGGAGGGGTGGGTGAATGGATTGACAGCAGGTTCCTTCCCATGAAGTGAACAGTGTTGATGAATTCATGTGAGCTGGCCCCTACCCCAGCCCTATAAATGCTGGAAGAATGACCTAATAGGCTTCCTTCTTTCTCCTGTTCTTGTCTGAAAGAACAAGGATTTTTTTAGCTACTGAGCAGCCAACAAATATTTTTGTGTAGAAGATGACAGAAGAAAAAAATAATAACCCAGTCCCAACCCAGATTGATCAGGACTGATTGATCAGGGGGAGTATCCTGTTCCCAGTCAATGAACAGGAATCCTTGTCAGAGTTAATGCTCACTGCATGGGATGAGTGCCAAGCAGCAGCTCGATGGGGAAGGACGGAAAGATAGGGAATGGGCTTTATATTTTGCAGGCTATAATCTGCAAACCCTGCAAGCCCAAAGCTGTCATTGCTGCACTGAACTCTGAGACAGCGGGGACAAGAATTGAAAGTGACCCTGTAAGAGCCTGTAACTGCTTCCAGCTGCAGTCTGATGAGGGCTCTGCAGAGTCCGTCACAACAGCTCTTTTTATTTGCATAATTCTAAGACAGGCAACCATCAGGTTGCTGCATCACACTGCCCTGTGCACCTTCCCTTTGCATCTTCCCTTTGCATTTTGCAGAGCAATAGTCATTATAAGGTAATTGCAGCCTTATTGTATGCAGGCTTTACAGGAACAAGACTGAAGTCAGGAGGACCATTCCACTGAAATCAACAGCAGCTACCACAGACCAATGGGGTACAGAGGTGCCTGCCACTGTGATGTCATTCCTCCTTGGAATAACAGGACTGGGTTTTCAAAGTTATTTCTTGCTCTCTTTTGCATCTCATGTTTGGTATGGCAAACCGATCAAACAAACATCTCCATGTGTCTCCCCGTGTTTTAGTCTGTATACACTGAAGACAGTCTTCTGGGAACACAGACTCATCAGGAAATTCTTGGATGATGTCTCAAAAATATTTCTAGTGAATAGAAAGTTGGTCTGGCAAGAGAGTATGTGTAACATATAAATAATGGATGTTTCCAGCACATTGTGTGCTTTGAAGTTGAGCTTCTTGAGTCCAAAAGGAGAGTGAAGTGTGCTTTAGAAACAGCCAGAGGACCGAGATAGTGTTGTTTTCAGTGAGTGCCTGGAGCCCCAAATCCTGGTGTTTGAAGGGAGTCAGGAAAAGTGTTTTACGTCACAACCCACAGCTACTGTCACCTCCATGTTCACTTGCAGGTGTGAAGGCAGCATAGCACACAGGGGTTTGTTGTCTCATTTTGAAGAGTGTTTCATCATAAGCAGGCTCTAATGTAGCCTACCTACACCTTTATCCACTGCAAAAGGGTCTACCCCCTGCTCCATGGAAAGGGAAAGAACAGAGGAAAAACAACGCCCTAAGAAAGCTTTCGAGACTTGAAGCATCACAGAGCAGAAGAAGCAGCAGGAAATACGTGGTTAGAAAGGCAACACAGTAGCATTTATTATGAACTATGTCCAGTGGTTGCTGTGGTGACTCCTAACATCACCCCAACAAGGAAATGCTCAGTCAATACTATGTACCAAATTAAGGGAGCTCTCTGACACTTTCCTAAATAGATTATTATTCAGGATGTCCCTACATCATCACTTTTCTCCTGCAAAGTTATTGAGTGCAGCATAGCATCTTCCAGCAGAGGATCCAGCTCTCAGAGGTGTATTTGAAACTGCCACCCTTAAGGACAAGCTGCAGCAGAGAGTTCGGGTGTCACATAGGAAATCAATGCCAAATCAGGCAAAGACCCACACATTCCAGCCATGGTCCCTCTTCAGGTAGAAGGTAATGCTCTCAAATTCCTCTCCTCCTGCAGAGCACTGATTGTTTGCATCCTCTAAACACAAATGAAGACGTGAAAACTTTCTTCTGTGTGATTTTAGTGAACTGGCAGTCTAATTTAAACCTTTTCTCTAAATTACATACAACAAGTTATGGCAGCTGAATGTAATTAAGAACAGGTTTCTACAGCTTGATTTGAATCAGCCTTCTTCCCAAGTATATATTTTGTGCAGCCTCATATGGTACTTTAGAACATATGTCCCACGGTGCATCAGCGGATGCACATGATCTCGCTCCATGCTAGTCCTCACAGTTTCCTAGGACTTTGCCTTCTTTTCCTCAGCTCCTTGAATCTTTCCACCTCCAACACAGTGAAATCTTATGCTCTGTTCACAGATAAGTGAACTGAAAGTTGATGGGCCAAAAAACTCTCTGCCAGTGCCAAGAAACAGCCCTGAAAGCCTTGAGGCTATTCTGGGAGACTCTTTGCTTTCCAGTTTTCTGAATAGGTGAAACAAAGAGATGGGCTGTGCTGGGGCTGGATGCACTGCACTCACATGCTGGCACTGTCTTTGCCCCTGACTCTTCCAGCTTCAATTCTAATGCCAGTTGTGCTGCCTGTCCAGAGAAAGGCAATTTATTAACTCCCAGTTAAGATATGAACTATTGCATGAACAGCAGAGAAAATTACAGTATCTCTCAAAGAGATGTGAGAGCACAGGAAGAAGTGACCACTGCATCAGTGAAGCTCCTGAGACACTCTTGGGTACCATTTTCTATCTTTCTTTCACCAAGCTCTGGGTCCAGCCTAAGCACCTTCATTCACTTACAGTTTGTGTCTCCTTCCTTTCACTCCTCTCATGACAGTGAGAAAGAAAATCCCTTGTTAGGTGTTGTTGCAGCACTTGCAATGACATCTGGTTTTGCAGTGATGGCATGAATAGGCTGACATTGTCGTTATTACTCAGAGTGGGTGTGAATGGGAAAAGAGTCCAAACCTGTTGTGGCACTACAAAAACTCAATCCTGGGACAGTTTCATGCACAGTCGCAGTGATGAGGCTGGAGCTGGGTTGTTACAACAGCTGCTTCAATCGCATCTCCTTTAAGTATTATTCTTGGGTGCAGCGTGAATACATCATTTATTTGTAAAGGTTGTAGCAGAGTCAGAGTGTTATCCAGGAGACCTCACAGCAAGTTCTTTGGGACAAGCATGCTCTTTTGCTCTGCTGGAATGTATCTGGCACAGTGTGATCCTGGTTTGGAAGCAGGAAAACAAATCTCCAGTACTGCAGGGCTTTGCACGGTTTCACTGCAAAGAGCAGGTTTCGACAAGCTGACTTTAGCAGTGTGTTTGCAACCTGTACGAATTGGTTTTTGCTGCTGTAATCAGTAGTGGTGATGCAGCAGAGACAAATGTGTCTCCCATGTGCTTCCCACCACAGTCATACCTCTCCATTATGTCTTGTACCCAGAGTGGCTGCAGGGAAGGGAAGGGAAGAACAGCTGGTTTCCTACAATCTTCTGTGTGCAGTCAGTTCCACTGACTTCAGAGATGTGTAACCTTTTTACACCAGCACAGACTTTGCCCTCCTGATTTAGCAAAACACTTGTGATTGTTTTTAAGAGAGAAATGGGAGGACTGGGACAAGATACCAACTGTGCAGTGACTTTCAATGGCATTAAGGTTCTCACCTCTTTCTTGTTCCGGGAAATTGCATTTGGATCTATTGATCCCAGTGACAGGTTTGGGAGAACAAAGTTGAGCACTTTTGCTGCAAAAACCTGTGGGAGAGGAAAGGAACCAGTTAAAGAGCCAGTTAGAGCAAGAGAGAGAACATAGAGGGCCAAATCCTGAGCTGATGGGAATCAGCACGGTAGGTAAATAGTTGAGAATAGTCAACTGACTCTGCAGAAAGATCTGTCCTATATTTAAAATATTTCTCTTAACGAGAAAGTGTTTAAACTGCTCCTGGGACCAGGGAGTGGGTGTGCTAGACTGAAATGCCGTCAGCTGTCCGTCCACATGCAACAGCACAACTTCATTGTACTGTGCCTTTTTCTCATTCTCAAATTAATTTCTGAAAAGCCTCAGTTGAGCACTTTGATAGGAAAAGGTCATTTCCAACTCTTGGGAAGGATGGATTTTGGTGTTTTATTGCCCTTTCCTTGCTGCCACAGTTCTGATTTCAGGCTGCAGTGCATAAGTGATATTGGGTGCAATTTGCAGTAGTTGCTGAGGCTGCACTCATTTTGATAAACATATTCTCTGGGGAACTTGTAAATAAACAACAGCAAAGTGAGCATGCATTGGCTATGGGAATCCATTGCTCACACGACTCCTGGGAACGAGACACAAAAGGACTCAGCAGCCCAGGCTGAAAACTGCTGGCAGAAGAAAGGGTAATATCTTTCATTTCAATAGCAGTACAAGAATGTCAATATCAGGGTTCTGCTCTGAATCTTTGGTAGCTGTCTTTATGTGATCACCATTTAAGTCAGCAATTAGTGTTCACTGGGCTGTTTTACGGCCCTTCGATGTTTACAGCTAACACTTACAGGTAGGCTGTCGCCCATGCCCTCTGTTTCTGCAGATATGTAATCACTTCTGAAGTACTTCCTGACATTTCAGATCACAGATGACACACGACTGAGTAATTATGATATTAGAGGAATAACACAAGGTTGAAGTCAAAGTCATCCAAGAGTGAAAAGCAGTAAAGACTCACAGCAGACTTGGGAACACACATGTACCTTGGGGTGGGTATGACTAGGAACCAGTGTCACTGTCTACCAGTACGGTAGAGCCCCTCACTGGCTATGACATTGTGGCAGCAAAACCGAGGTCTCTGAAGCTAGACTGGTAAAATAACACATCCACACCAATGCAGGAATGAGCTTATGATGCAAACAGTGGGAATGGGGGTTTCTTTGTTTCATATTAACTCCAGGCAGTGATGATTTGAGCTCTGCACCGTAACAAATTGTGGGCAAGATTATGGTCCTTGAACCAGATAACTAACATCTCTATTAAACTGGACAGAACAAAGCCAAAAAATGAGGTTTTAATATAGTACTTTCTTCCAGTTTGATTATACCTTAGAAAAAGTCCTCTGCACTGTTCCTGGGTGCAGATTCAGGCTGAATGACAGTGAGCAACATAATGTCCAGTCGGGTTGGGAAGCAATAGATCAGCAAGAGGCAAAATGGAAAACACTGAAGGTAAAGAGAGAATATTCTGTAGTGAGTCCTTAAACAATAGGCTGAGGGTTAGTACAGGATTAATCACCAAGGAGTATGTCCTAAGGGGTTGTCCTGCCCACCTGATTTCAAAGCATTCAACAGCAGAAATGAAGTTGGAGATGCTCCTTCACCCCTGCTCTGCCCTTTGCCAGCATATGTGACTCCTATTTCTGCATCCTTTGAAATTGTGAAGATTCAGAGCTGAATTTTGTACAGGTCAGTTGAGAAGAAAAGGGGGAAAGCAGCAAGATCCTTCTCACTCCACTGGATTTGAACTGGATGCTTCCCTCAGGACACAGGATTTATAGGGCACTGATGAAATTGTGAAATTCCTGCAAACATACTGTGCTGCTGCCAGGGCTAGTTCAGCAGCGAGGGAAGGTATTTCTAAGAGGAACTGAAGGACCCAATGTGTAGTCTGGCTTGCTGTTATTGTTGCCTTGAGCCCTCGTTTGTTCAGGACAAGGTAAATTCTTGCTCAGCTGGAAACTTCCCCAGCAAAGGGATGAATGCAATGGTCCTTGGGAAATGGCCCAGGGCCGAGAAGTCATACCAGTTCCAAGGGAAAACCCAAGCCTTTGTGCCTCAGAAGAACAACCACCATGAAATGTTTTTTGACTCTCAGAGGACAAAAAACACACAGCATTATGGGAAAACGTGACTTATGGAAGAATACTCTGCCTGTTTTCAGTCCTTCCTCTCGTAAATTCTTTTTCAGCTCCAGGACTGAATTCAACTGAATTTGACAGAGCAGAGCTATTTCAGGAATAATTATTTTTTTATCAGTTTTGAGACATAATAATAGATTTGAAAGGGAAAGAAACTTACTGTGCTCTTGGAATACTGTATGTAAGAGAGTCTCTAGGAAAGAGACCATATAAACACGTCCAAAATACTTCAGTTAGAGAGTAGGATTTCCTACATAAATGCTTCATTGCATTTATTTTCTACACTGAAATAAAGCAACGATCCGGTACGATTTGCAACAAACCAGACTACAGTAATGCTAGTTCCCACAGAACTGGTGAGTCTTTTTTTTTTTCAGAAAAGGTTTAGCACCGAGGAAAAGATATAGCTCTAGAAGAAGGAAAATGTTTCCTTATTTTCCTTGACTCAGTCAGAAAGAGAAGGCTAACTGTCTCTCAGATTCAGACTCATGGGATTTTTTCCCATTCCAAAGTAGGAAAAAGTAGGGGTACTGGTGCTCATGGGACCCTTATGTTGAGTCAGGTGTAGTGTCACCTGTGGAGAATCAGTAACCACCCTCTAAAAGCAGACTTCTGTGCTGACTCTTATTTAAAATAGTTTACCTGGATTAGATGACTTCAGGATTCACTTCCCTTCTGAAAAATAGGTGGGACTGTGGGAAAAGCACTTAGAATGAAAATACTGACTGGCATCCAGGTGGTGCAGATCTCAGCAGGGTTTGCATTTTAAGGCTAGAGGTCTTAATGTACTTCCTTCAGTGGAAGAGAGAGGTGATTTGAAAGCACCCTTTGGTGCTTGTAATGATTTGTGAAGCCAGTAGATGTCTTTAGCTACAGCAGAAGGTAGGACAGGATTATACTGAAAGGTGAGGTAATCTGGTTTCTTCCTCTCAGAAATAATAAAAAAGGAGAAAGTAGATTAAAACAAGAAGCTAGTCCTAGGAGAAGAGTCTAAGGAGAAAGGATAAAGGAACACATCCTGTGGGAATGAGATGCTTTGTCTTTCCTGCTGGCTTAGCTGCTCCTTCCCTTTGCTTCCAGCTTCTTTTAGGATTGTTATTTATTCTTTTAAAAATGCAGAAAGGAGGAGAAAGCTGAGGCTCAGTTGCCTTGCAGAGCCTCCCTAGGGAAGGGCAAACAGGGCAGTGCAAATGTGAATCAGAAATTGCTCTGGAAGGCAAATGTAAACGGGAGGGGAACAAAGCCTAAATGCAAACCAAAGGAGATGGTCTTGACAAGAACCAGTTATGGTACCAAGCCAAATGGGGTGCAGCTGGGGAGTGATGCTTTAGCTGGAAGCCTCCTTTGAGGCTCATGAAGGATGCCTAAGACTCAAGAGCTCTAGTTCTGTTTAGAAATTGGTCTACCCCCAAATGCCAAAAATAACCCTGACCTTACTTAGCCAGCATCCTGTGTTGCAACTATACCAGACTCTGCATGAGTCAGGAAGAAAGCTGTGGGAGAGGAAGGGAAAGGACGGCACTGTGTGGGCTGACACAGGGTGAGGTGAAGAAGGCACAGTCTGCTACCACCTTCCAAGGTACCATCACTACCTGACTCTTGATTAAATAAGTTCTTCTGGACAGGTCAGCATTCACTTCCCCTCTGAAAAGTAGGTGAGACTGTGGGGGAGGCACTTAGAAGAGAAGTACTGACTGGCACAGATCCCAGAAGGGTTTTGCATTTCAAGGCCAGATGTCAACACATTTCCTTCTGCAGAAGAGCAAGGTGACCAGAGGCAACATGGGTTTGCTCTTACCTTGATGGGAGTGGCGACTTCTGGGCTGGCTACCACTAAAGGAGAGATTAACAGCATGCCTGAAAACTCACTGGGTCGCTCACTAGCTGTCAGAATGGAGATGGCTCCCCCCTGCAATGCAAAATAACAGCCCACAGCTTAATACAGGTCCCAACATCTTGTTTTTATGGTAATCCTGTTATATGAAGGGGTTTAGTCCAAGCAAGCAGTCATTTCTGCCCCACTGAGACTGCAGTGTGGTCAGTGAGTAAAGCTGAAGGAGCAGAAGCACCAGAAGTGTCTGGTTTTTGTGGGGGAGAAGAGACCTGGTTTCTGTTCTCATGCTATAAACCCTCACATCACACCAAACTCAACTCTCCATGAAATGTCCATCAGCTCCCTGGGATTTCTTGTGTCCTCCTCACTTAAAAGAACTAAGAAGTAAGAAGAAAGTGTCTGAAGTGGTAGTTCAGGTAGGACTTGAAAAATAAGTTGAGGCTCTCTCAGTGTGACAGACCAGCACTGCACCGGGAAGATGCCGTGAAGCCGGGCTCGCTCCGTGCCAGGCACTGGTAACCTGGGCAACAGCAATGCTGCCACTGGCATGTGAAAATCTTCACTAATTAATGGGAATTAAATAGTCTCCTCCTCAGAGTCCCCAGCCCCTCTGGCCCACAGTGCTGTGCCCAGGGCCTGACAGCCAACACACAGCCCATGGTGCAGAGCCGAACACCAGCCAGGCTGAGCTGTCTCACGTGAGGACAGTGGCTGATGGCGAGGGGTGGGGATCGAAGGGATCTGGAAGGCTTGCTCGGGAAAGTTTGCAGAGGATTAGTTGCCAAGGGAAATATCTGGTGAACTTCCACACTGCTGGAGAACCAGGGGCTTGTTAAATGGAGCAGCAGTGAGAAGCATCTCAAAGACCTCACTGGGAAATTAGCTCCTTGTTACAGCGGCTTTGGAGCCTGGCGAGCCCTTCAGAGCATGCCATGCCTTCTTATGCAAGAACACTTGTTTATCTGAGCATGGGCTGAATCCCAAAGTACTTTTTCATTTTCTTCTCCTCGGGGAAGTCAGGGAGAACAGATCAATGACATCAGTGGGAATACTGCTAGCTTGAATAAAGGGATTTGGCCCGTGCTGTCAGAACCAGGCTTCAGATCTGTTCACCAAATCAGTGCCTTTGTTTTTGTAGCCCTAATCCTTGGTACATTTTCCTGTTAAGTTGTTTAACAGAATGAGGTTACAGGGTATTTTCATGCTTCATCCCCATGCTGCTCTCAAAGCTTTGGAGGGCTTAACCTCCTGGTTACTGGTTAAAATGAAAGGGGAAGCCTGATGCTGTAGGGAGCTGGTGAGACTTAGCATGTACCTGATGGGAATGAATGGTCCTATTAAAAAACAGGCCTGCTGTAGCAAATGGCACTGATTAGGGCCATGATGGGGGTAGAAAAGTTAAGGACTAACTACACTCATGGCAGATCTCAGGATTATGGCATGCTGGCAAATCAGTCAGTGAATGAAGTGAAAGGGAACATTCCTTGTAGTTTTGTTTTCCTGCTGTGGAACGAGTTATTTCCTGCCATCCACATGAGTACCACAGCATGTGTCCTGGATGCTGGGAGGGGTAGGGGATGGTGCTTACCATGGAGTGCCCCAGAATGAGAACAGGCAGGTCAGGGTGCTCTTTCTTCATGAGATCAATGTGCTGCAAGCTGTCCCTGATGAAGACGTGGAAATCTGAGACAACCATCCGATCACCCTCACTCTGCCCATGGCCAACTGTAGGGGAAAAGGAGAGCACACATCTAAGTCCTTCAAAGCAATGGTTGCAATCAAGAAAGGACCTAGCAGAAACAAGCCTGTTGTACTGTTGCTGTCCTAACTTGACCTTCTCCTGCAGTCAGCTCTCAACATAAAGAGTGCTGCAGAAATAGAGAGGAAGCTGCACAGAGCTGTTTAACAAGTGCCATACTGTCTATGATCTGATTTTAAAAAAATAAATCATAGAATCACAAAACATTAAGGGGTTGGAAGGGACCTTAAATCTGGACTTCTATTCCTCTGTGTTTCTACCTGCTCTTCAAAACTAAGAGTACTGATCTATTTCTTCCAGCCTCCAGCATCAGGATGAGGAGAGCAGAGAGGCTGTCTTGCCGTGCCATAGAAATTGTGGGTTGTAGTGGTGCATTTTCCCCCATTCCCCCTGGTTACTGCATCCTGGAAAATGGGGTTTTGCCTCAGGGGTCATATGGATCTGGTGGTTCACTGTACAGCTGTAACTGCTATGTAGAGTCTTGGCAAGAAACAGAAAAATTCTGACGATGTGATATGGTCACTATAAACCTAATGAGCCCTCTTCCAGGGTCTGGGTGTGCATGAGCTTCCAAAGTCCTGCCTTTTCTCATGGTCCCCCTGGAGTACTGGGTGGGCTGGAAACCTCCCCTGTACAAGGTGAGGGGTCAACAGAGGAGGCCAAGTGGTGGAGGCTGCAACAGTGGGCAATTATCCAGTGGCATCCTCCTCCTAAACAAGTGTTAATGCAAACTGTACTGCACCTGGACACTGTTCCCTCACTCTGTATCTGGGAATTGTCTTGTCTGATCAAAGGGAAGGGGAAGATTAAAATGGGAGATGGTGAGTTGCCATGGGAACAGCGGCAGAGGTGGAGTCAGCATCGCCACCAACACAGCCCCAGGCAATTTTGAGCTTGCAAAGGCTTGAAATTAATACCACCTTGGGAAATAAGTTTGCATGTTTACCTGACCATACAAGCATGCCATTGTCTATTACAAATAGGATTCATCCTTTAAAACAGCCTCCTAGCTTGTTTCTGTTCCATGTATGTTTTGTGAAGAGGAAAACACATTCCAGAAATAGGATAGGGTATAGGGAGTCTCAAACAGCATCTCCCTCCTGTTATGTGTTTCTCTAGACTTTCTCCAGTGGGTACCAAGGCACAAAGGGGCAATGACTAGTCAAAGAATGTGAAGTGCCTGATAATTGTTTACATGCTGGAAGGATGTCCTTCCAGTGACCAGCAAAGAAAAGCATTGCTGGCCCAGCCACAAAGGTAGTTACATCTGCTGCCAATGGTCATCCCAGAAAGCAGGGTGTCTCAATTTTCTTGTAAACCATCCAAAAAGATCACCTTGCAAATTAGGCAGAACTTCTAATAAAAAGCTGGACTAAATTTACTCTATCTAGGAAAAACTGAACCCTCAAACTTGTTCTTTTGTCCTGCTAGGTGGTCTCCATGGCTGGATCTTCTGGCAGTGAAGGCTGTAATCAGCCATGCTGGCTGCCAGAGAAACCCATACATGTCATGCTGGTCAGTTATAAATAGCATATTACTGGTTCTGCTTTCCATGCACATACTTCAATTCCTGCCAAAATATGGTACAGCAAGCATCCTCCATGGCTCAGTGACCAGGAACAAATTGACGAGCAAATTAAAATGCAAGTTGTGATAATCTATTGAAGTAAAACCATGTGTGTGGCTAGTGGATCTATTAATTTTAAACTGATTTTTATTACAGATGGAAAGTGAGCTTTTTACAACTTTTATACATATCCAGTTCACTCACTTTATGGCCCTCAAATGTGTTATCTGCCTATTATTTAACTTCAAATGTAGCAGGTTAACATGAGTTGGACAGTCCAGAAGGACTGTTTTCTCTTAGCAGAGCTCTGCGTTTCAACTTCTTTTTTCTCCAGTGCTGCTTCACTTGCTTCTAGTCTCTCCTCTCCAGCTGAGCAAGCAGAGACAGCAATCCCCCGTGGCCCAGGTCTGTATGTGGGCCATGACTCCCTGTTGTGGAGCTGTGAGGATTTGGTCTATTTTTGAATGAGAGAGAGTTTTTGAAAGCCTCCTCGGTCCTCAATGTGGAGAATTTCCCCTGGTCCTACCACACGACAGTGACACAGCTCATAACAGTGAGAGTAATGACTGTGGAGTCCAAGAAACACCTGTGCAATGCTGTGACAAGCCTCTCATTGAATTTCTGTGGATATTCTCAGATAGCACAGAGCCATGCCTGAGCAGCAGTCTGTCTGCATGTATGGGAAAGGAAGGCCATACAACTCTTCACTCTGATACTACCCCTGTCCCTTGTGCAAGGTTAGCTGGGTGGCATCGCTAGTTCATGCTCTTTTATTTTACTATTTTTCTCTCTTTCCCTCCAAGAAATCGAATTTATTCCACCAGAGAATGAGTTTATTGCAAGTTTGAATCCCCCAACCAAGAAAGCTTCAGGGTAGGGAACTAAGACCTCTTCTATTAGATTGAAAGACTTTTCACAACCAAACATCAATACAGTCAAGAATGTTTTCCTTTGACCTTTTGCCTTTGGAGCTATTAAGAGTGAAAGGCCAGGTTCATCTTTGATGTAAAGCTATTTGCTTTGGGTTTTGCTGGAATGAACCTGATGTAGTGGTTCCACAGTACCAGTGACAAAACAGTGGGTGCAAGAGGAGGGGAACCACCTTCATCCAGGAGCTGGAACTAACCAGAGGCTGCTGAACACCCAAGAGACACTACACCAAGGGAGACAACAGGGAAGTGTCACAAGAATCACAGCTCCATGAGTTCCTCATCACAGCACTCCCCCAGGGGCCCCCGGGTTTCAACAGGGCAATATGACGTTACAACCACGAGATGCTCATCTGTACAGATCTGTGACTGATGGTGCACATCCACATGGCACCCTCAGTGTTCAAAAACTGTCAAAGAGGTTTTCACATCTATCTGGCTTCACATGCAGCTCATGGTTCGCTGCTAGGACTGAGCAGGTGCAGTGGCTCAGTGACCAACCACTTCAGGTTCCAAGGACTGGGCTAATTGTGGGCACCCTTTCCTTTAAAAATAAGAATCCAAAACACATATTTTCAAATGGCAAATCTAGAATTAGGAGGTCTAGGCATCCATTTCCAACCAAACACACCAAAAATAACATACTTTGCTCAAACAAAGTCTCAATAAGAGCTGTGATGATCTAGACTGATATGTCATAGCTATTCAATTCTTCCCTCTGTATTTTCTGCATGAGTTTGCTCAGATTGTAGCTCTGTCACCAGAGAGTCAAGAACAGCAGCTCATGATCAGTCAGTCCTGTCAGAAAGCATGACTTCAGAGCATGATTTCACCTATGATTATAGATCCTCCAAAGTTACACATGTATCTGGAGGGAATAATACTGACTGGCTGTACAGGAAGACAAAGCTGAGAGTTCAGCAATGGAATATTTGAGGGTGTGAGGGCTCCAGGGAGTGCGTTATAACCATGTAGGTATGACTCTGCCTTTGAAACAGATTCTGTGGCCCTGCAAATGTGTACTTCTACAAGGCTCTCAATTCCTCAAATCCCATTATCTCTCATGCTCTGGGGGTTCCTTTTGAAAACCACTCCCAAGCAGCCACATTATTCATCTGACATCGGCTCACATGCCTCAAAAAATGTTACATCCTGGTCAGATTGGAGATATGCTGAAAAACACGTAAATAAAAAGCACAGTCCAACTTGACACTCCCTTCCCTTCAGTAAAAGCCAAAAAGGAACTGCCTGAAGAAATAACCAGCCCAGCTCTGGGCTGGCTGGGCAGACTAAGTCTGATGAGGGGAGTTGTGTTGGATCTCCACTAGCTTGATGTTTTTCTGCTGGGGCTGTTGGGGCACATCACAGCTGAAGAAATCTGTCCTTAAATGTACTAAGCAAGACCAACAGCAAAGAGGAGAGCCTGGCAGTGCCTGTCCCTGCACACCATAGGGTGCATCAGCACCCAGCCCTCCAAGGCACCATGGGGATGGATGAGTGCAGCAGCACATCTTGTCCACTCTCAGACACCTGCACTATTTGTGTTCTAAACACTAACTTTTACATGAGCCACACACTATACATATTCCTCTCTCTTTCCAAGTGCCCAACCCTCCTGACAAAGGCAGACCCTGACCCAGGTGAGAACTGAATTGCTCCTCAGACTTTCAGCAGGAACATTTTGCTGCAGAAGATGAGGTGACAGGGGAAATGCAGGGTCAAATGCTGAGTTCAGCTATGCTGCTGTAAATTTACCAATTTCAGTGACGTTCCTTAAAGCTCACAGTCATGGGAAAGCAGAAATTATAGGCTGTGTTGTTTTTTCAGCCTTTGCTCCCTATTTATTATGGAAAAGCTATAAAACAAAGAGACAGGACAGGGGAAATCTGCCTGGGGAGCAGTAATTCTTCAGGTAGAATTTGGATCTTGGCTTTTCACATATTTTGATGTTTCCAGCTCTGGGAGAAAGGGGATGGTTTAGATCCATTTCTATCGTAGCGAGGACACCATCAATGGGGTGAAATGCTCTCCCTAGCCAACTGATGGTAGAAACAATCAGGAGGGATGCAGGACTTGCCTCCTGCCTCAGGATCCATCGCACTATCTGTTTCTTTTCCTCTCTAGATGCGTAATTCCAAGATTTTGGAGCGAGAGAACCACAACAAGGAGAGTTAGGAGTAAGGTCAGGCACTCCAGGCTTACGACTCCCTCAGCATAACTATGTTTTAAATTGCAATGGCACTAACACAGGAGCACCAGAGTTTTCAGCAGTTAAAGGTCAGAACTGCCACCACTGCGAAGTCAATGATTCACAGACACAGATGAGGAGCCTCTCTGGTACTGCAGAATCCCACACTGGAAAGACACATCTTAATTATGGCAGAGGGGGCCATTGGCAAGGCCTTGTGTTGCAGTGTCTGATTTAATAAGCTGGAGCATGGGTGTGATTCCATTCCCAAAGGAGCTGTTG